TGTGGGGCCCCGTTTGCAAAGGTTTTGGGGAAATCATTTTTGAAGAGCGCTTTGAAGGCAACAACGCATGGCAGCCCACCCCCATCACGGGTTGGTTGGGATTCATTTTATCCCGCCCCCCCCCCCCCCCCTCTTTAAAAAACAAAAACAAAACCAAGTCAAGGCTCACCGAGGACCATCGAGCAAGTGCACAGAGCTCCTTTCTCGTCCGTCCTGCCCCGCTCTCATGCTCTCATGCCCACTGCCTTACCCCTTCCCTCCCCTCTGCTTCTCGATACCATTAGGCACTTCCTTTCCTTTGTGGGCGCCCATCTCCGATCTGGCCACTTGGTCCAGCACCTTTTCTACCACGCTGCCGGCCCCCACACAGGAATATGCTGGTCCGTTCACCCCCTTCTTCGCCCTCCCTCCCAACAGCGTTTCAGACCCCGCCCTCGTGCCCCTCTTTCGGCTCACCTTTTCCCCTCCCTCCCTTTGCACAGGCTTTCAACTCTGGCATCGTGACGTGACCTCCAGCTACGCACGAGTCCCCACCGACTCGTACAACGGCTTTGCCATGGTCTCCCCCTACCATTGGTTCAACCAGTTTCCCTCCGCCTCGGGCTCTGACTTTCAATTTCAGGCCACGCTGACGTCTGCCCCCGTCGACGTCACCTCAGTCTGCGAGAGCACCGCCATCTACCTCGAGGCCGACACATACTCGAGCGTCTGCTCCAACTGCCACATGCGTGTGGAATGGTACGACGAGACCCAGACCGTGGTCAAATCAGACTATTTTGTCTCCGCTTCCCGCAACGGAGGCAGCCGCAACGTGCAAGAGTTTTTCTTCGTGCCCACTGGGGCCACGTCCTTCCGTATCATCCTGCAAAGTGAAAGCTCCTCCTCTTCCGATCGCAACTCTTATCTGGCCATTGACAACATTGTCATCCGTGCTGGGATTCCCGACGACTCCCTCGACATCTGCAGCCCCGCTGCTGCTGACCCCGAACTTGCCGTTTGGCGTGGTGGTGACGGTGAATTTCACAACGCCAGCCATTGGTGCTTTGGTCGCCTGCCCCGACAGCGCCGCACCCTCATCAATTGCACCGGCCTGGAACAGTGCTTGGTGCGCGTCGACCACGCAGAGCTCGTCAGTGAGCTCCAAGCCACCGATAGCGTCGTCCTGACTCTGTTTGCCGAGCTCCGCACCTATCGGCCCTCGACTGTGGGTACCCTCCTGTTGCAAGCAAGCAACCCCCGCTTTTTCGCTGGTACAAGCCTCGTTGTTGCCCGCCGAGCCAGTTTGCGCTATGGTGCCTTTCTCGGTGACCTCGTGGTGCACGGTTCCCTCGACACCTTTAGCCCTTTATCCTACCAAGACTTCAGTTTTGAAGCGGGCAGCACCGTCAAGCTCCTTCCAACCGAGCCCACCACATATCACTTTTCACAGCGCTCCTACAATGACCTTGAGCTGTACTCTGCCACCTTGTACGCCAACAACCTCTCAACCCTGATTTTTGACAACATCTACAGCAGTGATAGCTTCAGCACCTTTGATATGGTGGCTGACGGCGCTCGCATTGAGCTTCACGGCGACGCTCCCATCTACGTTGACCAGGGCCTCATCCTTGCCAATGGCTCAACCCTCATCTCCTATGGGCCCTCCGTACGCCTCACCGGAGGTCATCTTTTGTGCAGCGACGCCACCCTCACGGCCAACCAGTCCACCAACTTCTTCTTTGGTCCAAGCACGGGCTTTCTCAGTCCCACTTGTCGCGTCGAGGCCAACGTGTCCTTTGTTGGCTACTCGGGAGATCTGATCGTGCAGTCGTCCGTCTTTGAGCCCGAACGCATCCTGGTCACGGGCGGTTCGCACATGCTTGATGCCTCGGCCAACCCTAGCCGTCTCAACAACTTGGAAATGACGGGTGGTATCCTCACCTTTGATTCTTCCGTGGACCTGTCGTCTCTTCGCAACATCAGTGCCCTCGGTGGCAGCTTATACATCAACCAACCCCTTGACCTGGACCTGCTCACCCTTTGCTATCGTGGCAGCACCAACTGCGACGTGCGCCTCGGCAACGACATGCAGGTGGACGTCTTCATTTGGAACGGTGGCTACCTCAACGCCCAGCGCAACGACTACACGCTCAAGGTCCGGTCCACCCCCTACCCCCAATCCACAGCGACCAAGTACATCCGGGCCCTGAGCCTAGAGGCAACCAGGTTTTCTTCACCAGTGACGGCAGTATCACCTTCCCCTCCTCCTTCTTGATCAACTACGGCCGCGTCGAGTTCACGCCGCAGTACAAACAGTCCTACCTCAGCTTTTACGGTGGCTTTCACAGCACCGGATCGGGTAGCCTCATTGTCAATGGCGGCACTCTTCGCCTTTATGGTGCGGTCGAACTTGACAGCGCCGTGTTTGTGGCGGAAGAGGCCACCCTCTCATTTGAGTCCTGGAGTTACTGCTCCTCTGCCGACTGCGGCTACCTCAAGTACCTCACGAGCAACAGCACCATTAACGGCTCCGGTATCATCAACATCAATGACAACTTGCCAATTGATGTGGCTAGCAGCTACTTTAGCCCCAACCTGCAGCTCAACATTCAATCGGGTGGCCTCAACTTCCGTCTCCGCCGTGAGACCGCCTTTACCGAAGACATTATCCTCTCTTCTGGCACCATCGTCTTTGAGGGCGCGGACGTGACCATCCGATACCTGGAGCTGAATGGCGGTCGCGTCACCTTCCGCAACAATGCTCATATTGAGGGTCTCATTCATCAGAATGGCTACCTCGAGCCGCAGAAGAACCTGAGCATCACCGACGCTCGTTGGCTTGGGGGATATTGGGAAGGTGTGCGTACCAACTCGGTCATCGTCGGCAACGCCACCTTGTGCGGTTCGAGCACGCACTACCTCACCAACCTGCGCTTTGAGATCAATGACCTGGCTGATTGGGCCGGCTCGGGCGGTATCTACCTGCAGGGCAACGCGCAGATGCACATCGCCGAGAGTGCGCAAATGACCGTTCGCAACGGCGGCCTGACCCTTTCAGGCAGCTCGCGCACCATTGGTTTTGTGAATGACGGCACCGTCTACATCTCGCCCGCCGAGCTTGAGGGCGCCACCGTCACCTTCTCATGCGGCGTCCTCTCGCGTGGTGACATTGGACTCTACGGCGGCACCTGGGCCGTCTCCTCCCTTCTGCTGGAAGGCAACCTGGGCACGGCTACTGGTGCCGTCCTTCGCGTACAGGGTGCTTGGCATTGGTCCAAGTCCTCCCGCGTGCTTGGTATTACCGGTCAGGGTCTCGGTGACATTTATCTGCTGTCCAACGGCAACATTAACAGCCAGGCCGTTCGCGCCCGCAGCATCACCGTCTCTGCTGGTGTGGTTGTGGCCAACGGCGTCTCGCGCTTTGAAGCTGTCGAAGCCGCCATCACCAGCGGTTACCTCTCCCTTCTGACTGAAGCGGGCGTCGCTTCCATCCAAAGCCTGTCCATCAGCGGCTCGGCCGTTGTTCGTATCACCGAGGCACTGGACTTGGACACCCTCACCCTTCAGGACTCGGCCGATCTCATGGTTGAGCAGAGTCTTCGCGTGGGCAGTGATTTTAGCTGGGTGTCTGGTGACATCATGGGCACCGGCGTTGTCGAGGCCCTCGGCACAGTTATCCTATCCGGCAGCTCCTACACCCTCTCGGGTGTTCAGCTCAACGCCAACGCCGGCTTTCGGGTGACCAGCTCAGGATCCCTTTCCCTCACCAACGCCGCTCGCCTCAACACGGCGGCCGGGTCCTCATCCAGTATGGCCACTAATTCCTTTTCCGTATCTGGCAGCGGTTCTTGGTATCACCTTGGTTCGCTGGATCTCGGCGTGGCGCAGTATTCCGGCAGCGATTCCATCTCCATCAACACTAATCTCGTGGTGGCTGGATCGGTTCACGTTACGTCGGGTACCCTCGTCATGTCCGGGTTTACTTCCATCTCTGGCGCCATCACCGTCGAGGAAGACGCCGAGCTACGTGCCACCAACGATATCTCCTTCCTGCCTTCCTCTTCTGTTGAGGGATCGGGCGACGTCGTGTTCACCGGGTCGTCGGTTGACGCCGTGGTCAGCGCACGTGTCTTCAGCGTGGCCAACCTCAAAGTCCAAAGCTCGGCCAAGGCCAGCGTGAGCTTTGATGGTGACATTGCCTTCCAGGAGGTGGCCGTTGAAAACAGCGCGTACTTGACGGTCGAGGTGGACTCGCTCACGACATCCCACCTCTCCATCTCCTCGGGCTACGCACAGTTGTATGTCAAAAACTTCACGACGACACGCGCCACCATCGCCAACAATGGCCATTTACAGCTGTACGGCGAGGGCCACATCCTCTCAGATCTAGACTATCAGTCTGGCTACATTGAGGGCGAGCAGGGCCTGCTCACCGTTTACGACCCGATGGTGCAGCTCACCTCAACCTCCTCCAGCTATTACCTGCGCCGAGCCCTTCGCACGACCGGGACGTGGATCATTTCCACTGACAACGTCTACGTTGAGGGCGACACCAGTTGGGTCAGCGAGGGTACGGTGATCATAGACCACGACGCCAACGTGCGTATCTCCGGTGCGGGCTACATTGCCAACAATGGCATGCTGCGCGTGTCCAGCTCCACGTGCGTTGATGTGACCCTGCCTTTTGTGACCATGGGGCCGGACGCCGCCATGCTCTTGGCTTGCGGTACCGTTGCCGTGGGTCGCCTCACCACTAGCCCAACGTGCAACATCACAGTCCTCAGCGGTGCCACCCTTGCCGTCTTGGATGACGCCACCATCGAATCCCCTTTGATGGGCGGCGGTGACCTCGAAGTGCGCTCGGGTACGACCACGCTCCGCGAGGGCGTGGCCCATCAGATTGAGCGCATGCGCACCACGAGCTCCAATGCGGTTCTGGACATCCAAGATACCGACTCGCTAGAGGGCTTGCGGGAGCTTGTTGCCACGAACGGTGCCATTCAAGTGCATGGTACCACTCCTCTGCAGCTGCGCCAGGCTACGGTCTTCAGCGGTACTCTGTCGTTTGCCGTACCCTTCAACACCAGCAGCCTGATCGTACGCGGCGGTGGTGTCGTGCGTCTGGCTCATGTCAGCGCCCAGGCCAACCAAATCACCTGGTCATCAGGTACCATCAGTGGCCACGGTGATGTTTCACTCGAGGTCGCCAACGGCGTGTCGCTCAACACCACTTCGTCGCATTATCTGCGTGGCGTACGCTTGATCGTGCACGGACTCGTCGACGTGGATGCCGATGACAACGAACTCAATCTGTACATTTACACGGACGCCATTTTTTATGCGCATGGTGGTCTCTTTGTGGAGAGCGGCTTTTCCGTGAGCACCGAGAACGCCAATGCTTTTGTGGTGAACAAGTCCATCGAATTCAATCCCGTGGACACTAGGAGCATCATGCGCTTCTACTGCCCCACCGTCCTCGGCCCCGACACCCAGGTCACCCTCTATGGTGACTGGGTCATCGTTGGTGCCCTCATCGTGGGTGAAAACACCGTTTTCAATGTGCAGGAGACAGCGCTCCTAAACATCACAAACCGCGTCCAAGCGGACGCTTCTGTCGTCTTCAACGGCCATGGCGTCGTCTTCAGCGGAAGCGGCGATTTTCAACTCCCCACCGGCAGCCTCATCAACACCACCAACCTGTACATCGACAAGACTAACGGTGACACGGTTCTCATTGGCGACAACGTGCGCAGCCGCGTCATCCTGCGCCAGGGCCGGGCACTCCTATTGCCCGAGTTTTTGGCACACGAGGATGCCGAGTTTGTGTATGATCAGGATTCGTACTACGCCTACTACTACCTGGGCGGCCCTGCACGCGTGGATCGCGACTTTGAGCTCCAAGGCAATGATCGTCTCTACGCCCTATTCCCCGTCGAATTCACCAAAGATTTCTCGGGCCACGGCGGTCAGCTTTGGATGCAAGGCAGCGGCTCGCTGACGTTCAACAATCTGCGCAGCTGGTCCACTGGCTCGTTTGAAATTTATGGTCCGGGCCGCGCAACCGTCAATGGTCTTTTGGATGTACGTGGTTCTACGCTGGATCTTGAGTACAGCCAGTACGCGGCACAACTTGTGACGTACGGCACCACCATCTTTGAGGGGAGCCTGGCGCTGGACACATACCGCCACTACATCAATTACGGCACGTTGCTATTGAGCGACGATACGAACATTGGGCTGGACAACATGATGAACTTTGGTAATATTACTGTCACCGGCGGTGAGATGCAGGTCAATTCGTTTTTCAACGGCGGAAGTCTCACCTTTGAGAACGACGGCAGCTTGTACCTCATGAGCTCCGCTGTGGGCTGTGAGGAGCCGTGTGATTTGTGGAGCAACGTGTCGCTGCGCCTCGGCTCAGACGCACTGATCTACAATTCAACGGCGGGCGTTTATCATCTGCCTTTTGCCGACCAGTCGGTCACACACTACAAGTACATCTCCTTCTCGAGCACCCTCGAAATCTTAGCTTCACAAGATCCCAATGCTGTTCTATGCATCGACGACTTATACTTTGGAGCGTACTGGGGCAATACGCTGCGCACAGCCATGCCCGTGTACGTGCATCGTGCTCTGACCTACCGCAGCTCGGCATCCTATTACTTCCAGTTGCTGGGCGTCAATGCCACGGTGTATTCGCCCGCTGATAACGTGGTCATCAATAGCCAGAGCACCGGGTTCTTGACCGTGATTGACCAGGAAAATGACACTTGCGCTGATTATGGCTCCTGTGCTTCGTGTGCGGCACGTCCAGAATGTGGTTGGGACACCTTCTCCAACATTTGTCGTTCAGGCAGCGTTGAGGGCCCCGCGGAGGGCGTCGCGTGTGGCTGGACTTATTCTGACAGCGAGTGTCCGCTTGCGTGCTCGGCCCACACGAGTATGGGTGATTGCACGACCGCCGATGCAGCCTGCATGTGGTGCGAGATTGATGATACCTGCCAGGATCGTCATGTCAGTGCCTGCAGCTCTGGGGCCAACTTGGTCTGGACCGGCGCTGCTGGCAACACGGACTTTGAGAATCCCGAGAACTGGAGCCCCCAGGAGGTGCCCGGCGCCAATCACGACCTCCTCATCAACGCCAATCAACCCATCACCATTTCGACCGACTCATCTTCGACGCCGCTGCAGCTGCGCTCGATCCAAGTGGTGGGCCATCATGGGCAGATTTCATTCAATCTGTATCGCTCGCTCGTCATCTCTGGCAATGCGCACTTTGGCAGTAACGTTCGCGTTTACATGTCTAATTACGGTGCCCTGGATGTGGATGGCAAGACCACGATTTTGGGCGAGCTGCAGGGCTACGCCAATTTTGGTGGCGCCGGCACCGATGCTTACGTACACACCGTCAGCGACGCGACGGCTGCATTCACCCTGGACGCCAACAAGGTTGTTCACGTCAACTCTTCGGCAGTCTGGCGCGGCAATTACGGCTCGCACTCCATTGCAGCCGGCGCGGAGCTGCGGTTCACGGGTGCTTCCCACTCCTTTGTGGCCGGACACTCCTTCAATGGGGATGGTAGCGTGGTCTTTGAGGGTGCGGTCACCATCTCGCTGCCCGCCGATACCCACTCAATTAGCTTCTCGAGCACTGTTGTTTTCCTGAAGGACGTGCTGATTCATCAGGGCCTGCTCTCCCTGGATTCGAGGACCGCCGCCTCTCACGTGAACGGCAACATCACGCTTGCAACCCGCGCAGCGTGGTTGCGTCTCCGTTATTCCAATCACATCCTCGCGAGAGGCATTTCCGGCGATGGCATTGTGCGTGTGGAGAATGCAGCCAACATTACCATCGGTTCGGGTCTATCCTTCGGTGTGTCCTTGCTCCATGTGGACGATTCCAACTCACACGTGACCCTGGACGCGGTGCAGTTGGCGGGCGTGAGCGAGATTCGTACCACCAGCTCAGGAACCATCGAGGTGCGCAGCCAAGCAGAACCCTATGAACTTCGCCACATCGACGTGTCGGGTGTCATGATCTTCAATTCGCCCGTGGTCATCACCGAGCGTTTCCTCCTCTCCAGCGGTACCATCACAGGCAATGGCGACGTGACAGTGCGTGCAAGGGACGTGCGCTTGAGCACAGCGACTTTTAGTGCCGGCAGCAACGGCGTACGCCAGGTCGTGTTCGAAACCCCCGTGGACTGGCACAACTCTGGCCTCTACTTGTACAGCACAAATGCCACCTTTATGAGCGAGGTGGAGATGACCACCCCGACTTTGTGCGTCGACGCCGACAGCGCCATGTTCTTCCTGGCCAAGGCTCGCGTGCAGGACTACATGGCCACGAGCTCATCCAGCTCGTGCCGTCAGGGTAAGGTCGTCTTTGAGGATGAAGTTCTCTTCGATTATCCAAGTACAATGTACATGAACCTGCAAGTCGAGATCAATGGCCATGCCACTCTGGTCACGGGCACTCTCCAGACCAGCCATTTCACGCTGCACGGACAACTCGAGATTGGAGAGGAGGCCACTTTGTACGTCGCGGAAGGCGCAACCTTTGCGTCCAGCTCCGATGTGATTGGTAAGGGCCGCCTGTATTTGGCTGGCGACACCGAATTGCACGGTAATGTAAGCGTGCGAGCACTGCATTTTGTCGATCCGGTGCGCGCCCACTCCGGCTCGGTCATTAAAACAGAGACCTTGACCTCAGACATGAGCTCGGGCGAGACGGCGTACTTTGAGGGCATTTTGCAGGTCGATTACCTCTATTTCTACTCGTACGGCGACATTTACTTTGACCAAAGCACGTTGGACTGGAAGGCTTTGTCGTTGAGCTACTACGTGCATCTGCACGTGCCTGGTGCGATCACCATTCATGACCAGCTCGCCTGGAATGGCGGCACCATTGACATGGAAGGAACGGGCAGCGTGGAGGTGCTGGGCAGCGTGGAGGTGACTTCTTATCGCGCGCTCTACATCCGTGGCGGCAACATGACCTACCACGGCGCAGTCGTCTATGATACCAGTTACACAACATACCTGTACGATGAAGCTTGGTTGCACATTGCCGAGGGTGCGACCATGTCCTGCACCGTGAGTTGCAGCTTTAGCAGCGGTGACTTGCGCATCTCGGGTGACTGGTCGGTGGCCAACACGGGCAGCTTCAGCGTGTCCTCCAACGTGACTCTCGAAAGCACGGGCTCAATCTACGCGAGCAATGCCCAGGTGACCTTTTATGACCGCTTCATTGCGGATGGTCGCATGACCACGGATCGCAACGGTCAGCTCAACTTTGCCGGCATCCAGGAGGTGACCCTCAATCCCTCAAGTCGTGTGGATGGTCAAGTCTCCGTGGTGGCTTCGTACTCGTACAGCGACGTCCAAGCCAACGTCACGTTCAACACGACCAACCTGAGCTTTGACTCCTTCACCTGCAGCGGCTCTTCTTCCGTACGTTATCCTCGCTATATCCACTTTCCCAATATGGCAAGCAATCACCTGCGAGAAGTCAGTCTGACGGGCGGCAGCTGTGCGCTTGAGCTCCCCGCGAACACCGCCATCGCGATTGAGAAGGCGGACGTGCGAAATGGTCTTCTATCTGTGCCTGCCACTACAGTGGCCACCATCACCGAGCTTTATCTCTATAACCAGCTGGTCGGATCGGGTCGGATCGTGACTGAGCAGCTCGTGGTCCTGGGCTATTCAATCACCCTGGAGGGGCTTTCTGTGGAAGCACGCCGTGTGAACATTAGCGCCTCTTACGTGTACATGCGTGGTGGTGCCCGTCTGCAGGTCCAGGACTTTGCCATCTGGACTGGCACCTCGGCCTACCTGTACATGTATGACAGCTCTCTTTTCCACGTGCGGTCGGGTGCCACCTTTGCTGTGTACAGTGACCTGAGCGCGAACCGACAGTCGGGCGACCCGCGCCTGGTATTTGATGGCGAAGTGATTGTGTACAATCGCTACTCCATTTCGGCATTTACATATGTTACCAACCAAGTCACGATTGTTGCGGGTGCCTACCTTTCGCTGGGCCAAAGCCAAATCAGCGGCCAGATTGTGGCCGCAGATCCTTCACTGAGTACGTGGCGATGCTCCAGCACGTGTACCGTGACTGCATTGGGCCAGCTGAAGAGCGGCACAGTGACGGTCTCAGGCACCTTGACGGCATACGCTCGTTCGCTGTCACTGCATACCGTGTCCATCACGGGTACTCTGCATGTGCTGCGGCCCGTGGCTGACGACAACACGACCGGCACGCCTACCATCGCCAACTCAATCACGTTGCAATCGAGCGGTCGCCTCGAGCTGGACACGGACGTGACGGTGCCACGCCTGAGCCAGCAGTCAACCTCAACCTACGTGGCGCTACAATACCGCACGCAACTCTTTGTGCCGATTCGCTACGACTTTCAATCGGGCCGGGTGACGGGTACTGGAAATGCGCGTGTGCTCTCTGCGGCCAAGACGATTTTCCGATCTGGTTCAAGCAAGTATATCCAGAATGTGGCCTTTACGGCCCAGGGCACGAGCACCTGGACACAGGGCTACCTTTACCTACAATCAGGTGGTACTCTGACGGTGCCGAGCGGCTCAACGTTTGTGGCCACCTCCGACTCGAGTATGTCTGGTTCGGGTTCGTTTGTGGTGCAAGGCACGCTGTCGGTGGAGAACTGCATTGCCAGCGCTGTCTTTGACGTGCCGATGAACATTTCGGGCACCATCACGACGGCAGGCTCCATTGCCTTCCGGGGCGACACTACTGTGGCAGCCTCGGGTATCATCCAGATGACCAGCGTGGCTTCATACGTCCAGGCCGCCAGCAATCAGCTCATTCTGCAAGATGCGGCCAGCATCCGGGGCCAAGGTCGCGTGGAGGTGTCATCGGGTCTGTTGGTGTTGGCGTCGGGCGTCCTTAATGTGCCCTTGGATCTGACTTCTTCGTCGGCGCGCGTCGAGGTCTTGGAGGGCGGCAATGCTACTTTGGCCAAGGTGTTCAACTTTGAGGCCGGCTTCTTGCAAGGCAAGGGTCTGCTTTACGCTGCGAACATTGTGCACTGGGAGTCGGGAACCATCAACTCCGTGCTGGTGATTCAGCGCAGCATGCTGCTGGACTCGGCAAACCAGAAAACCGTCTCCAACTATGGCGCGCTGTCTGTCGATGATGGTGCCACGTTGCAGCTCAGCGCCGGTACCCTCTACCTCTACTACGGCAAGGTGGTGGTTCAGAACGGCGGCACCTTTGTGGTGGACCCAGTGGGTGCGACGAGCATCAGTCAATATTCCTCGGGCTCGCTCTTCAACGCAGGCACGCTGGCCATCTATGCAAGCAGTGACGTCTTTTCGTTGGCCGGCCTGCGCAATGCTGGTTATTTGTACATTATGCGAGGCACCACGCAACTGGCGTCGGGCACCATCTTCGAGTCGAGCTCCGAGGTACGGGGCAACGGCAACTTGACGACAAGCAGCGACGTGCAGCTCAATGGCCTGATGTATCTTGGTGCCCCCGGTGGCTTTTATTGCGAGAATTGCAATCTGTACACGACCACGTACGGCATCATCACGGGCCAGTTTTACGCCAACGAACCCTACTTTGGCCGAAACAACGACAACTGTGAGACGAGTTGGGCCAGCAGCCGTGGTGTTTTGTCCCAACCCTGCCTGCAGGCATCGTTGCGCCTGCACGGTAATGCTTACGTCACCTGCTCCTCCCGCTCGCGCTCGTGCCACATTGACCAGGGCATGTCGGTTACGATTGAGGGGACGATGCACACGACTGGGGGTCGCTTTGCCGTGGACAGCCCTGTGCGAGTGACCGGCAATTTGCTGACCAACAACACTCGCTTTGAGCGCTATTACTCAAGCTCGTCCACCATTGACGTGGAGCATGACTTGTGTATTGGTGGCAGCGACAACATGCAGTACTTCTACTTGCCCGTTCACATTGCAGGCGGCACAGTGCGCGTGTTCAATGCCACGCGCTTTAGCTGCCTATCGCAAGACGGCGGCCGCTTGCACCTGGTTGGCGCCAGCGTCGACGTCACATATGATGGCGCTTGCTCTGCATATGTCAACGAGGGCGGTGAAATTTCTGGCTTTGGACAAATTGAGGCTGATCTCTTGTCCTGCCGCTCGTGCCTGCTGAATGCGGCGGATGGCGGCATTGCAGTGCAGGGTGACGCGGACTTGTTGGGCGCCACGCTGGTGACGCGCCTGGCGCCGCAGCAGGCTCGCAACATGTTCAACGTGTCGGGGCACCTGACCATCAACTCGACCCGGGTTCATGCCGTGGTTGTGGATGATTCGACCTTGCCGCTTGCTTGGCAGGCCAACGCGGTGCCGTTTGTGTTCTACAATGATAACAGCGGCGCTTTTGACCTGGATGCCGACGTGTTTGCGACCGTGGGTACAAACGAGGCAGTCGCGGTCCTCAACCCCACCACCAGCTCAGTTCAGACGCAACTGACCTATGCCGAGGTGACTGTTCGTTATTAAACGCCCGGGCCGATGGCCTTGAGCGCCTGTGCGTTTTGTGCTGTCATGGTCTCCATGGCTTTTGATCTTAATTTGTTGTTTGGGTTTCTCGTTTTATTCTTCTCTTTCTTTTTTCTCTTTAAGTTGAGCTTCCTTCGGGTTGCTGATATGTGATGTGATGTGATGTGCGTGTTTGATGTGTGCATAATGTGCTCATGAGCGCACGCGTGCGTGTGTGCGTGTGAGGCCGTTCTCGAGGGGCCCACTGCTGGCTGGCTAGGCCGACCGACGCAGGCGTCACCTGGCACTTTTTCTTTTACTCCTGGCTTGCTTTCCCAGACTGTGGGTCTCGTTCTCTCTTGACGGCAAAAAATGCCTCGGGGCATCATGCACACTCTTTTACCTTTGAGAATTGAAATGTAAATATAGTGCGTCCCTGAATATCAACCGGCCCTCTCTCCCGCAGGCCGCTGCCGACCTTGCGAAGCACACTTTCTGAAAGCAAAGCAGCTTGACACACGCTTCCCCTCTCCCCGCCCTCTCTCTCTCTGGCGCTCTGTGCCTCTCTTGTGTCTCTCTGTGTCTCTCTGTGTCTCTGTGTGTCTCTGTCGATCTCTGTCTGTCTCTGTCCGTGTGTTTGTCTCACTGTCTCTCTGTGTCTGTGTGTCTGTGTCTCTCTTAATCTCTCTCGCTCCTTTCTGTTCTTCGAAACTTCTCATGGTTCATGTGAGTTGAAGACGCACTTTAGCATTTTCTTGCAGATTTCGTCTCAAAGCCTCTTAAAGTTGAGGTCCATAAAGTCGTAGATGGCGAAGATTATGCGTAGCTGGTTGTTCTCTGGAGATGTATCAACAAGCGTAACACATCTCTTCGATCAGACACTTTCCTGTATCCATCTCTGATTTCTATATTCAATTTAGCTTGAGTACTTTTGCCCCTGCCAAGCTTTCTCTGAGATTCTCACCGTCATACCAATTCTCTCTGCCTCCAGACCAAGGTTGATTTCCTTCTCTTCCGCTTTTACTTTTTGCGTGTGTGTGTGTGTGTGTTGTTTATTTTCTTCTTCCTTCAAATGGCAGCGGGGGCCTGAACCCGTTGACCCTTTGCACCTTGGTCAGGGCAATTGCACTGTGCACCGGTCAGCAGCGACGCAAACTTGATGGAGGGCTTGATCCCAGCCCCCTCCTGTTCGTTCTGCATTTAGCAACGATAAGGCTAGCTTGGCTGCCTGCCTCGTGTGTCGCAGGCGGAAACCATACTCGAGTGCACACGACACGGGCGCTGGATTGACGCTGGACTGCACTGCTATTAGGCTTGAACCGCTGCGCAATGTCCTTCCTGGCTCAGTCCTGCATGTGGTAAATGACCAGAGTATCTCTGGCAGCATACGCTTGGCGTGGTAAGGGCAGGCTCGCCTGCCCAGAAGGACCGAGGCAAGCGGCTCATCGTGCATCCAGGTACAATCGCGCGCGCTCTGATCTGAAACTGTTTGAACCTTCTTCTTGGCCCCCGCGGTGGCATTGTGCCGACTTGCGATCCTTCTGGCCCTTATTTTGGCCGCTCTATCAATGCGCCTTGGTTGACAAGGACAAGGGCGGGCGTGCCTGTTTCACTGCTTGTCCGCCCCCCCTTTTTTTTAAAAAAAAAAAACTCTCCAAGGCTCTTCCCCACGAATCTTCAGGATCCTGGTACTGCTCTTACTCATCCATGCACATGATGCACGCACATTTTGCACAAAGCTAGAATGGCTCGGCACCTGTTCTGTGCACTTTTAGCGGGGCTGCTTTTGCTTGCCCTGGGCATGGCTCCTTGCCTTGCGCTTGAAGTGGGTGAATCATATCCAGACGAGCCCGAAGGCGATGCAGCCCAAGCCATCAAGGAGCACGTGCGTCCCGGGTCGCTTGCGTATCAAGAACTAGTTACCATGGTGCGTCCAAACGTCTGGCTTCCCAATGTCCGGAATCGCCTTGGTCTGCCCTTCGTGGCGACTCCGACCTGTTTTTTTCTCATCGTGTATCCTACCCAACAGCCCGTCGCCACAGAGGGTGTTACCTTTTCCCCGGGTGTCTCCCGCATCATGTCTGAACGCATGTTGTGAGTGTCGCGGCATCGTCTCGACCCCCGCTCCGTGTTTTGTCATTTCGGGCTCATCAACCTCTTCTCTCCACAGGAACAAGCTCACGCGGCTCGGGGAATACGTTAAAGCCGCCTGCGATATTGATCTCGTTGTTACTCGAGGCTACGAAATAGCACCGGAGAACTCAGCGTCACTCGAGCTCTTTTACGAAGGCCGTGCCGTTGAAATCACTGCCGCCTTCACTCCCACCACTACTTGCGAGAACATTTTTGAAGGTCAGCCAATTCCTCATGCTGGACTTTTCTTTTCTTTTATTTTATTTTCTTCTGGCTGGTCTTGCCCTCTTTATTTTGCCTCATCAAAGTTTGCTGGTCATTTGTGGTTGCTCCACTGTGCAGAGGTGGTGGTTGACACATGTTATGCGGAGATGGCGTGCATGGCCACGTTCGGTACCTGTCCCGAACAAGGCTCGTTCATTGGAAATCCTGATGACTGTCGCTGCACCAAGACCTGTGCATCGGGCTCCTGCCGCTGCGGTAGCAATGTTCCCGTGTCGGATTCTTGTTCAGCCCTCCCAAACGAAGACTGCTTTTGTGTGAATGAAGAATCGCTTGATGACAGCGCCGACATGACCACCCAGGTAAAGGGATTCATGCGGTTGCGAAAGCCATGTGGCTTTGAATGCTTGAACACGTTGCAACTACGGCATGCATTGGGTGTTGACCTGTGTTGAATTGCTCTTACATCCTTCTCGGGGTCACTGTTTAGCTTGTTGATCTCGTTCAGCGAGCGGGCTTCGATTGGATCATGCGCGTTAGCACGCTGGTCTTTCATCTCTCAGTGATTCCTGATGCCTGTGAATCCCACATTGACCTCGTCTTTCTCTTGGATGGTAGCAACAGGTCAGCACACACCGCTCACCGTTGCTTGTATAGGCCCGCTTGATGGTCTCTCGCAACGTGATGGCCGACTTGCCCGGAGGCACTCGCTTTCCTCACATTTGCGCTTGGTTGGTAGCGTGTCGGAGCCCGACTGGATTCGTACCAAGCAGTTTGTGGTGGATATGATCGAATACTTCAACGTCAACACCACTTATAGCACTATAGGCACGCGCGTGGGCCTTGCCTGGTATAGGTGCGTTTATCAGTCCCGCCTGTGAAATGCGATTTCTGGGTAGGGCATGTGTGAGTGCAGGAACTTTTAAAATTGCAATAGTATCTCATGACTCCACCCTTTTAGCACCAATGTCAGCAAGGAGTTTGATCTTGACACGTACGACTCTTCAGAAGAAGCTCAATGTGCTGTTCAGCGAGTTCGTCTCGGGTACCCATGCCTATCACAATCGGTCAAGTAGAGCTTTCCTCTGTCTCATCTCAACCCTTGCCTATTGTTCAATCCCTTGTGCCGTTCCTGGCAGACCAAACGAGAGATTGGCGAAACTTATACGGGCAAGGCTCTCACCTATGTCGAAGAGAACATGTGCGTGTCGTTGCTGCCTCAGCGCCCAGCGATTCAGGCTGCATCCAATGGCTGCGTCCGAAGGCTGCATCCAATGGCGCAACCCGTCCTGGCTTGTGGGTTGGACACTGCTCATTACGTCTGCTCTCCACAGGTTTGCTGCCCAATATGGAATGCGCACCACCATGGACATTGAGCATTACTTGGTGCTGATCTCTGATGGCAAATCTACGGACGACGTTGGTATTATCGTCTACTTGCCTGCGCCGCCTCGTTCGACCTCTTGTGCTTTGCCGAACACGTAACGGAACCGCGCCACCCCGTGTACTCTAGATCGTTCTGCCTGCAAGAGACTTACGTGATAATGGCATAACCATTTTTACCATTGGTATCATCAGCGTGAGTGAACACCCAAACCTGGATTTGTTTTCCGCTCAAGCCCTATGCATAGCTTTCTTGCAGCTGCATGCTACCTCACCCAAAGTTGCTCGTTGTAACGGCCTTCCTCGACCGTTTCCAGTCCAGCACCTCGTCCAGCGACGCAGCCGCCCAACGCTTGGAGCTTCGGACCATTGCTGGCTCAGAGGACCGTTTCTTCGAGATTGAATCCATTCAATTCGTCTCTGAGGTGGTCGACTCACTGCGAGAAACACTGTGTGACGCCCCCCTCACTGTGCCATGCTGTTCTGGATCGGGATCTCTTGCGTCTGCCAACACTCCGTCCATGGAGATTCTGGCTGGTGGCTACCGATATTTTTCTCCGACCTGTGCGGATAATGACGTGGACGTCATTGTCGTACTTGATGTCACAGCTGGGGCCTGCCTGCTCTTTGCATCCATCGTGGAACCGTTGCCCGGCCCTCTGGTACACAACTTCTCCGATACGAGTTTAAGCGCACAGCTCTCGCTTCGCATCCCTCGAGGTAGCGGCGATACGCTCTTCGTCAGCGTTCGTGCCCCAGATACCAGCAACTGTGAGGCCACGCTCTACTTTCGTGTTGACGCCTCGGCCACGTTGACCTTGGTAACTGAGAATCTCGATCAGACGAACTTTGTGATCGACTATAACTTTGATCAAACCTATAATTATGAAATCGCTCGACCCCGCTGGACAAGCGTCAATATCAATGGATTTGATTCATCGTTCAATATTGGACGCGAGGTCTCCTACCTCGTCACGGTATGCCCCATTTCTTTTGCTCCTCTACTTGTCGGCATCTTGAGCTCACATCCACTCACACCCACTCATCCGCTCCTCTACTCTCTCAACACGAATAGAACTATTCGAATGTCTTTTCCACAAAAAGTGACACTGGCCGGGTCTCTGTGGGAACGGCCTTGACCCCATATGCTGGTCAGTTCCTGAGCACCACGTTCAAAGCCGAGCGAACAGACTTTGTGTGCGTGTACGCCGAGCAAGATTTAAGCATGACGGTCAAGTCGCTGCCAACAACGACCACCACAACCACTACGACAACCACCACGACGACAACCACGACAACCACGACAACCACGACGACAACCACCACGACGACGACGACAACCACAACGACAACCACCACGACGACGACAACAACTACAACTACAACTACAACCACAACTACCACAACGACCACCACGACAACAACCAAAAGACGCTACGTTCCAGCCAATACAACCGAGGCCACATCGACCACGCTGGGCATTATTGCTGTTGCCCAGCCCAGCCCAAAGAATGACAACCTGTGGTTTCTGCTCCTGTTATTGCTCTTGCTATTGCTGATACCGTGCTGCATATACTACCGACGTACACACCAGAAAATTAATGTCTCGGCAGCATTGGAAGACCCGCCCATTGTTCCGGCACCGCTGGGCGCACCTCAGCTGCCTATGAGTCCTCGGCCCTTCGCAGGGGCGTCAAGCTCAGCCCCCACGGCAACGCGCCGCGAAACGCCCCGAACGGTTCTCCCACAGTCGGGAGCAGGATCCAAGATGCCGGTCGTTCATTCTCTCGCGGCGGCCGTACCACAGGTTGGTCGCTCACAGGCCCACATGCGTCGTCCATGTGTCCCTCAACCAACTCCGTCTCTGGCCACACTTGATTAAGCTTTGCTTGTCTGGTCTTTGCTTGGTGATTGCAGGCCCCAGCACGTTCCTCATCTCGCGCACAGCCAAGTGCAACGTTTATGAACCCCACTTTCAACGCCGACGCAGCTAATGTCCCACCGCGCACAGTGCCCAGGCAAGCTGCTGTTCGAGGCTGTCGTGACAATTTGTCTGTCAACTGAGAACACTTGATAACCTACCTTGTCTTGGAGCACTCAGCAACTCACACTGTGTTTTATGGTGTTTTTGCGCCATGCTTTTTTTTTTTTTTTTCGAGCAGCGTGGCGCCTTTGCCTTTGCCGCCAAGCCAACCACACTTTATTGCTGTCCGCGAACGCCGCCGAGTATGTGACGGGGCCTGGTCTTTCTCGTTGCTTTGCCATCATGCTCTTACGCGCGCGTGTTTTGGCCGCTTTGTCCCTTGTGCGAACTTGGTGTCAAGGTGAGACATGTGGCTATTGAAGTGTCAGACGATGCATATTTTCTAGATCCAAAAATGAGCGACGATTATCCCTTCCAGCAGCCGCGCTTCGGGTATCTTCCAGGTTTGTGGGTCACCCATTACATCTCAGTGTCGGCGTCTTTGGGAGGTGGCCACTGGTCTGCTGCAAACTGGCGTCATTTACCCTGTTCGACTAAATGCTCAAATGTTTGCGTGGCGCAGACCTCGTGGCACATTATGCCGCGCCCGTGCCCCGTCCGGGTTTGCGGTGGGCGCTACGTGATGAACTTGGTGGACTGCAGCCCAGTTTCCGATCTTATCAACGGACTCCACTCTATGACGTTCCATTGACAGCGTCAAGTGCCCAGCTGAGTGACAAAGACAAGTGCGTACTCTGTTTTTTTTTTTTTTTTTTCCCCAAGCTGCCTCTGCATCGTCATCTTGACCTTGGGCCTCTTTTATGATCTTTTTGTATGTTTTGAATTTTCTGGGGATCAGGCTGGCAGACCTCGTCGAGATGGCCGTGATGGGTCAACTGATTGACGAGTGCATCGAGCTGGAAGTGACTCGCCACTTCGCTCAACGTGAAACAAGCCTCTATGATTCGCTGTTTGAGAGTATTGTGGACGACGCAAATCTGGTACGCGTCCCGTCGATTCAGCTCATCTCATCTCCAAAACCGTTGATGACAGAAAGTGCAAAGGCGGCATGTGCACCGACGAGGGCCGTATATTTTTTCATTCTCTTTCACATTCTGTTCTTGGGTTGATTCTGGCGGTGCTTGGCATTTTAGACTTTTGCTGAGATGGATGTGTTGCACGAGTCGGTCAACCACGCCGTTTTGATGTCCCTGACAAATATTGAGGAACAACTTTACGTAGAAGGCGTCGATGAGGTATCCTGTCATTGCCGAGCTTGACTGTCCAAAACCCATTTGAAGCCCCTCTATCGTGGTTGTGTGTGTGTGTGTGTGTGTGGCGCGTTGAGTAAGTGGGGGGCACGAAGCTTGCACATGCATTTGACACCTGCTTTTGCGCTTCATATGTGTGTAGGCGCCCATCGGCGTCACCGACACGGTTGAAAACGACTACGAAACACCAATGCCCTCTGACATGCAATATCGCCAGGGCAATGCATACCTTGAGCCTGTAGTTTTGGCGGACACTGGCTCCGAAAGTGTGTGGTCTCATGCTAGCGATGTGAACATTTTGGTCGGCGCGCCGCTTCATGTTGCCTTTTGCAAACGATTCACAATTCACGATGCCCTGTCTTGTGTTTCATAGTCACGCTGACATGTGACGAAAACTATGCCAGCGTCTTTGGTACCTTTCTTGATCCTCAGCAGCAGGCCACTGCCTCAGAAGCGGTACTTGCAGCCCTGATGGCCGCGGGCATTGATATATCCGATCTTACCTCGGTTGAATTTGAAGCCGGCTCCATTCGCATTAAGATCGAGGCAGGCGATAAGACCCGGGAAGCCATTGCCCGCGCTGTGCGCGACGGCAGGTTGAATTTCCAGCTGCCATACTCAGCCCAACGCGGCCCGTCGCGCTCAACAGCTTGGCAGCCACTGGATGCGGCGCAGTGGTTTGCCTGGTATCAACCCACGATCGTCCGCTGGGAGGCCACCGAGATGCTGCGGCATCAACCCGAGGGCAGCTTCGTCGTCTACATGAGAGTCAGTTCCTTATCAACATGCGCTCCCGTACTGATGCTTGCTCTAACTTCTCATGCGTATGTGCACATCTCCTGTTTGCATCGCCGGGGTGTTTTCTGACCTCGGGGGTCCCTCGTTTGTCTTCCTTTTCGTTTCCTTTATTATCTGCAGCAAGAACAGCGTGACGTCGGAGCAGCTGAAGTGGACGAGCTGGATCCTCCTGAGGAGCGCGAGCCAGCTGTGCCTCCGCCCATTCCCGTTCGTGAACCGGTCCCGGCTCCAGAATCGGAGGAAGTGCCGCCGCCTTTACCTCCACCAATGGTGCCACCGCGCGAGCCCTTGCAGGTGCGTGCTAACCAAGCCTCTTTCGTTTCCCTGCGCTCGCACATTATTGTCGGCCTGAAGAGTGGTGATCATTCTTTCTGGCTCATGCATTGCTGGACAGGTCGAGGAACCTCCCCCACCGCCGCCCAAGCGGGGCTCATCACCGCCCCCGCCGCCCCCGCCAGAGGACTGGCAACCGGAGCAGTACGAGGGCCACGATGATGCCATGCGGCGCAATCGCCCTACTGCGCGCCGGGTTGCCGTGGTAGGTTGCGGTTGACAAAAACTCTTTTTTTCTATGAATGTGTCCAGTGTCACACTCTGATCCTACGTCCATTCACGCGCCTTGCTCGACCTTGCAACATAATGCACGTAGATGGCGCGCGTGGTGCGGCGTGGCCAAAAGCTAGGCGCTTTCGTAGATGACTCGCTCTTGGACGTGGAGGTCGATCAACACACGCGCATTGTCAAAGGACGGCGCAAATCCTCATCCGCGAGCACAATGGAGAATCGCACATTTGGACAACGCATGTTTCCACGCTTGACAAGCGCCGACGATGGTGGCGAAGTAGAGCCGGGACTGGAGACTGAGGTCGATGAGACACCGAATACTTCTTCGGCCTCGCTTCAACGCAAGCCCACACAGCGGCATGGCTCGATTTCTGCGGGCTACGAGGACGTAGAGGTGCGCTCGAACGCTCGACGAGCTCAATTGCTGCAAGCTGCTGCTCTCTTGACCACAGAACTACAGGAAAACGAAACCGACGCCGACGGAGATTTTGGCTTTGAGGTAGCAGAGGCCCGGGATCCTTGGTTGCACCGAGACCTTTCTCGCGAACAGGCGGACCGCATCCTACGTAGTGCCGCCCATGATCTCTCGCGCTCTGAAGGCGAAGGCATCTATTTGGTGCGAACCAGTGAAAAGGCTCAAAACGCCTATGTGGTTTCCCTGATGTCGGGTGGGGCCCCACACCATTATCTCTTCCGGGAAGCCGAAGGAGGTTTTGTGCTCAAAGGCAAATTCTTCCGCGCCACGTGTGTGCGAGATCTCTTGAATCTCTTCAAAGAGGATGATGACGTCGGCTTGGCATGCCTCTTGACCCGCTACGTGGCCACGGATGGATCATTGGAGGATGTCAACGCCTCGGCTGTCTAGTTTGATACAAGCAAGCCAACTCGACCTTGGTCTACGCATACCATCTTTGATTTTCTGTTTATATGCTAGCACCCTTTGGATACATTTCGTGACCTGATGAAGGAACTTTTGCGCGTTGTTGTGTTGTTTGTCTGATGGATTTTGAAAACCACATTGTGTGTAGGAGATGTGGACTTGTGGATGTGTGAATGACGGCCGCCTTTTTAGTCCAAATCGATGCCTCAAATCCACTTTGCTGTCACAAGACTTATTTTCTTATCATCATCATCAGCTCTAAAATCCAGTCATGACTTGACATGCTTTCAAGGAAAAAAAAGTCAATTGTAGTGTAGATCAGTACGGCACGTGAAACAACAGCACAGCATACAACGCACAAAACATGTTTGCCATGACGCAAGGAGATGAGAGCTGGATAGTTGCTCAAGATGAGCCGACCACGCAGGCAAAGGCTCAAGCGCAAACAAAGGACGCTCGAGAGGAGCACCCAGCACATCAAGGATATACAAAAGTATGACGCGGGAAGATGGTGCGGTATCATGCAAATATGACCACTGCAATCAGCAGTAAAGTTTGCAAGAGTCGACATGTCAGTGGGGCATTGCACCACAGCACACAGAACTGCTGATCGTGCCCATACTGACACGGCCCATCTAGCAAAAGAAAAACAAAAACAAAAAACAAGAAAAAGGAAACAAATGGGGAAGAAGATGTATTGCGGGAACAAGATGCAGAACAATTGAAAGCCCTGTTTCCGCCCAACCAACAAAATAGACGGGTTCTAAGACAAATCTGATCCACGACAAGGAGTTGAACAACACGGAGCTCGTAACACAATCGAGCAGAGAGACACGATATAAATCAGGCGAGGGCCACCCAGCGGCTCGAGACGGGTAAAACAAAACAAAATCATTTGACAAACAGCACGGCACGCTCAAAACAAAAAGCAGAATAACAGAACAGGGACGTATGACACGGAATCTCAACGAGACAAGGGAACCGACAAGGCTGGTGCGCAAGAGCAGGTCTCACACCAGCGAATTCATTGTGTGAAGAGTTCAGATGTGAGCCGCAAATCGTCACGAGCGGGCACCGGAACACTGTGCGCGTGGTCGTGGTCACGCCATGTACGGCATAAAACCATCGGCACGAAGAATCGTGCTGCCAGGCACACACGACAACGCAAGCCGTGTCGATTATGCGCGATCATAGGTTGTATCGCGAACGGCTGTGTCATAGCCTGAACTGGCCGGGGCGGTACCACGGTCATACGCAGGATCTGAAGGAGCCGCGACGTCGTAACCATTCGAGCCAGCCGCGCGATCATAGGCGGCTGCGCTGTCATAGGCCGAGGCTGTGGGCATGCCGCGGGCGGCAGCGGCGGTGTCGTATGCCGGCTTGCCCGAACGCGAGATTTGGGGGGCAGCCGTGTCATAGTTGCTGTTTTGAGCCGCGGCCGTGTCATAGCCATGCGAGTTGCTACTGCCCGCCATATCATAGGGGGATAGCTGTTGCGCACCGGCAACTTGACCAGAGGATGCAGCACCCGCCTGGGCACTGGAAAAGCCAAAGGCAGCTTGGCTACCTGCCGCAGTGTCGTAAGCACCAGATCCCGGCGCCGCCGAGTCGTAACCACCCGAGGTGGCCGCCCGGTCATACGCACCCGCACCCGAGGCAGCTGAGTCATACGGATTGCCCTGAGCTCCGCCACGCGCACTATCATATGCAGCACTCGATTGTTGCGAGGAAGAGGCGAAGGCACCGCGGTTTACGCTTCCCGCAGAGCCCATGGTGGCCGCACCGCCCGGCGCGGCAGAGTCGTAAGCGCCAGCACTTTGGCGTGCCGCCGAGTCATAGCCAGCCTTGTTCTGACTGGCCCGATCGTACCCACCGGCGTTCGCATGGTTGCTAGCCGAGTCGTACGGGGACTTTGAGGACGATGAAGGCATGGCTACCGCCTGTCCGGCTACAGCCGCACCAGTGCTGCCATACGTCATCGGGGTACCCGAGGCACTGTCGTACGCCGCCTGTCCACCACCAGGGGTGGCCACGTCGTAAGTATCACCACCAACGTCGTTGTATCCAGGGTTGGGTGCGTAGCGGGCGCTGGGGCCTGAAGCCGAGTCGTAGTTGGCACCTTGTTCCAGGTAGCCGGGATTGCTGGACATGCGAGAAGTAGCTCCATACGTCGAGCCCTGTGCCATTGCGTCTTGGCTCAGGCCATCTAGCAAAAGCATGCCAAACAAACAAACAAACAAACAGAATGAGACGACCACCGAGGGGAAGGAAAGGTGGCAAGAACAAAGGTGACTGGTGTTTTCACTTACACATGGGATTGCTGGCTGCGTCCATGGTGGGATCAGTGGAGGACTCTTCGCCAGAGAGAGGATTGTGCCGGCTGACCGAGGCAAGGCGCAACCGACCAGCCTCCATTTGCAGGTTGCTGTTGCTGCGCAACGTGGCGCTGCCGTCATAGGTGTTGTTGCTACCATACGTGTCTGCCATAGCACTCACGCCGTAAAAGGGGTTGTCGACAGCATCTACACCCATGTGGTTGACAGCGCCCGGCGATGCAAAAGTGGGGTTCGAAAAGTGCTGCTGCTCTTCCACGGCCTCGTAGGTGGGCTGCTCCGGCTGCGTCTTGGCAGCGGCACAGAGACCACCGGGACGGCAGCAAAGATACCAAATCAGTACAATGAGTAGGATGACGGCGAAGAGAGCGGCAATGATGATGCCCACGAGCGTGCCATCGGCCATAGCGCTCTTGCTAGCTGAGGAGGTGCTGGCATCAGAGCAGTTCACGCGCTGGATGCAATCATCGTCGTAGGCACAGAGCCCGTTGACCACGGGACAGGCACAGACACCACCACTGGCCGAGGCCTCGCACTGCTGGTTGCCCGGGCACGAGGAGCAGTTGAGTGTGCTCAACTGGCATTGGCGACCCGAGTAGCCTTCGGGGCAGTTGCACTGGCCTCCCGCGGGTGAGGGAAGACACACGACGCCATCAGGGCAAAAACCTTCGGTCTGACAGTCATCGTTCGAGCTGCAGCGCGAATCATCCTGACCCGAGAGGGAGAAGTTGCCTGGGCACGCACAGTAGCCACCGTTATCCGAAGGCATGCAAAAGGAGCCCTCGGGACAAAAGTCGGTGCCACACTTTTCATAATCAGTATCGCATAGACGGCTCGTCAAGTCCGAAGGGCACGAGCACACGGGGGCATCACCGACAGCAGGCACGCAAATGGCACCCTGGTCAGTGGGGCAGCGAGCGCACTCGCCCTCCGTCATCTCGCACAGCAGACCCGTGCGACCAGCCACACACTCGCACACAAAGCTGTCCAGGCCACCAAAGCGATCCGAGGACACGCGGACACAGGTGCCGCCATTCAGGCAAGGGTTGGGGTCGCACAAGTCCTCGCTTTCGTCTTCTTCGTCGCAAATCTCGCCCTTGGTGCCGTCCGGGCACGAGCAAGTGCCGTTGAAGGCATCGGCAACGCAGGTGCCGCCGCGGCAGAAGGAAGTGGCACAATCACCAGTGGTGCACTGTCCAGCCGGATCACACTCGCCGCGGTTGAGCTCACAATAGTCACCTGAGGTGCCTTCGACACACTGGCAGCTGTACTCCGTCTTGGCCTCACCCGCAGTTGGGGCCTCCCGGATGCAGGTGGCACCATTTTGACACTCGTTGTTCAGGCAGGGGTCAGGAGAGGTATCGGTCTCGTTGCAGAGCTCGCCCATCCAACCATCTTCGCACGCGCAGTCGGCGTCATTGTCAATGTCGAGGCTAAAGTCACCGGTGCGCTTGGGCACGCATTCGCCATTGACACAGTTCTTGTCGGCACAGGGGTCCGTGGGAGGCACCTCACAGCGCGGGCCCGAAAAGCCAACGGGGCAGTCGCACGTAGCACCACCATAACCAATCATTTCCTCGCAATTCGTATCATATTGACAATCGGCAGCCTCACAATAGTCAATGCCGTCACCGTCGCAGTTGGTGCCCGGGACAGCCTCGGCAGTAGCACAGGAGCAGGTGCTAGCGTTGACGACGTTGCCGGCACAGGCATAAATGGTATCATCACAGGTGTCATCGGCCGCGAAATAGCAGCCCATGTAGGGGATGAGGACGAGTGTCGCAAAGGTCGAGTTGTGCGCACCGTCCGATGCGTACATGAGAATGGAGGCGGTGGAGGTAGGTGATGTCGGCAACGGGATCAGACCAGTTACATACAGCTTGCAGTCGCTACCAAAGGCGACGCTGGAGCGCCACGTATTGGGGATGGAGGCGATATGGCAGGTGAATGACTCGCTGTCTGCGTCTGTGACGAGCGGATCAAGGACCAGGCTGCCCACAGGCTCGACGACCGAAATGCGCCGGGTGTACGTCTCCTGGTCAAACTGGGGCCCGTAAATGTTGGCGCGCAGAACCGTCATGTTTAGAATGGCTGAGTCAAAGACCACGCCCGTGTTCTGGCGATCGTAGAGCTCGATGGTCAGGCGGATATTGCTGCCCAGGGCTGCGGCGGGAATGGTCTCAGCAACGTCAACTGCGCATGAGGCACTTTCGGTGCGAATGCCAAAGTTGGCGCTGGTGACCGAGGCGGGACCGGTGTAGCTTTGGATGCGGCAGCCAAAGTCCTGCTGAAATTCCACCTTCTCATCATCAATCACGGGGACGCTGTGGAAGGAACCAAAAGAAGAAGACACGTAAATGGGCAGGGTGGGTGTGACCCAGCCTTCGACGAGGCCATCAAAGAAGGGGCTGTCGTCACCATCGATGATGTTGACGTTGATGGTGGCCGGCGGGTCGGATTCCTGGCCAGCGCTGTCGGTGGCGGTCACCTTGAGGGTGAAGGAGGTGAGGTCCACCGACTCGTAGTCCAGCTCTACGAGCTGGGTAAGCTCGCCCGAGCTGCTGTTGAGGCCCAAGATGGTCTGGCTCTGGCTGGCTGAATCGGTGAAGGAGTAGGTGAGGACGCTGCTGCCATCGGCGTCGGTGGCGGAGAGCCGCAGGACCACTTCATTGACAGAACGACGACTGCGATGGTTGACCGTGGTCTCCTGGAGGTCGAGGGTATAGGTGGATGGCTCGAAGACCGGGGCCGTGTCATCGACGTCCGTGAGGTGGATGGTGATGAGCTGATAGCTAACAAGGCAGCGGTTGTCGGAGTGGTAGGCCCAGAGCTTAATTTTGTACGTGGACTTGGTCTCGCGATCCAGGGCTGAACCACCTTGCTGGACAAAGATGCGGCCGGCCGAATCGATGGAGAATTTGCCGTCACCGTTGATGGTCGAGTCCAGTTGGAACGAGTAGGTGGGGATGGAACCGGCAATGGCGACCATGCTAGGAGCGGCGAGAACCTCGGTGCCAGCACTCGCACCCTCGAGGAGGGTCGCGTTCACTTCAAAGGCGGAAAAGAGGAGGTTGTAGAAGCGAACGTCGGCCACGCTGGACGGGGCACTGGACGAGCCACGGAGGGCAATGTAAACGGGGGCGACGGCGTTGTCCACGATGCGACTGTGTAGACCATAGTCAAACTCGTTGAGGCCGGCATCGATGGCGAGGGCGTGGCGAAATTGCCCAGGCTGTGGGGTGGATGAATCCACAAAGGCATCCGTGCGACCTCCCTTGCCCTGGAGCTCAACAATGACGTTGTTGGCAATGTACTGTGAGCCGACGGAGCACTGGCCCCGATAATAAATGTAGTCGTTGGCGTCGAGGTAGACGGTGCGGCGCTCAGCGACCTCGAGTAGGGCCGGGATGGAGCAGGTCTGGTAGGAAAGGCGATCGACGAGGCGAGCGAGGTCATCCTGGTTGCTCAGCTCAAAGGCGTGGCGGTCCTTGGGTTCCGAAGCCATTTCTTGAACCTCGATGCTGTAATAGTCACCGACGCCGATGGCATAAATTTCAATGCCCTTGTCCTTGAGCGCGGTGGAATACTCGTCGGGTTCAAAGCCGGGGTTGGAGCGACCGTCGGTGAGGACGATGAGAACACGCGGGATACTGTTGTTGGAGGAACGCATGCCGGCGGCGAGACGGAACATTTCGCGGTCGATAAAGTCGAGACCCCACGAGAGGTGAGTGGCACCGGCGGGAAACTCGACGTTGTCCAGCAGGTCGTTGAGAGCATACTGATCGGTGGTCTCGATCAGGTCCTGGTAGAGGGTCCAGGAGGCGTTGGGGTAGATGATGGGGCCACCAACGCACTCACAGCTATCGCAGTTGATGGGAAAGGCGTGGCGAATCTCACACTTGCCCTGTTGATAATCGCCGGCGGAGCGATTCTCGCAGCCGTTGGGGGTGATGGCAAAATCAACTTCAAGGCAGGTTGAGTCTGGGCCAGTGCAGCCAATGTCTGGGTAGCAGACGCAGTGGGAACCCTCAAAAGTCCAAATACTGCGTTGAGGGCAGTCAGGGATGCCCTCGACGTACGAGTAGTGGGAGAGGAGGGGTCCATGAAAGGACATGACGCCAACGCGGGTTTCTTCAGAGCTCACGCTAAAGTAGCTGGTGACATCCTTGACAAACTGAATTTGCTTGTCCCAGAGATCAACGTGGCCACCGCTTTGCTGGTAGGAGCCATCCAGACTGGCACTGCCATCGAGGGCAAAGACAACGTCGAGGACGGCGCCACAGCTGTTGGGAACCACGGCCAGCTCGATGCGGGCATCACCGTTGCGCACAAAATCGGCACCTGAGATCCAGGCCAATTGCATGACCGTGTCTATCAGGCTGGGATACATCCCGACTTGGTTGTTGCGCCAGAACTTGAGGTCAAGGGTGCGACCCTCGTAATGGAGGTTTTCGGAATTGGTGGGCGCGTCGAGCGGAGGGGCTTCGTAAGCCTTTGAGACATGAAACTTGATGCCAGCGTCGAGAAGGGTTTGATATGCTTCGTGGGCAGCCATGCGGTCGAGAACGGCCTTAAGGTTGGCGCTCATCAGGTGAGGGTAGCTTCCCTGGGCAACGTTCTCGTCGGCAAAATGAATGGTGCTCTGACCGGCTTCGGCGTCGACGAGGAGGGCGTCAAACTCGTTGCTGCCGGGGCGAAAAAAATCACGCAAGCCGCCCACCACATCGACAGCCGTTGTGTTGGCTGGAATGGTATCACCCAAGCCATAGGTGTCGCGACGTTGGCGGTGGCTCGATTCATCGAGGCCATCTGTCTCGGGCCATTGATCATCGGGGATAAAATCGTCGGGGTCAACAACCAGGCTAATCTCGGAACGGCGAGCGGGAGGATTGAAAGGAGGTTCAATCATCTCTGAAGTCAATGGTGCGGGAGGGGGGAGTGAAAAGCAAGGCAAACGGTGGTGAGTGAGGTCGACGTCGAAAAATTCGTGGGTGGTTTGGCCAAGGTGCAAGAGAAGAAGCAAGTTCCCAATCCGACGACTCGGGAACGATGCCCCACACAATAGGGAGACGCAAGGTACGGAGCAAGTAGACAAGCATTGTCAAAAAGCGAACCTTGGACAGAGTTGAGGACCTCGGCGTTGGTGCCAGCCACCACCAAGAGCGTGGCGGCGAGGAGGAGACCAAGGCGAGCCATGATGGAGGATGCACGCGGGCCGTGCCCAACCCAAGCGTGGGCTCTCGGTCTTGGCTCTGCCGAAGCAGCTAGAGGGCAGATCAATCGATTCGAAAAAAAAAAGAGGGGAGCTTGATATGATGGAAAAGAGGAGAAAGGAACCGTCTCCCCAGAAGCTCAAGTCAAGGGGAGGAAGCTTTCTGGCCCTGCGTCTCTGAGAAGAAAACGATCGTCTATTCACCAGCAAGGAAACACGAAACAAGGACCGAGTGAGTGCGTTGCGAGGTGGTCCTTGCGGCACAAAACAGGAACCAGGGAATGATCTCAAGCCATCTGTCGAGTGGAAGGAAGACGGACCCCATGCATTGGTGTACAAGCAGGCAACAACCAAAAAGAACAGCAGCAACAACAACCCGAGCAGGCTGCCCAACAGAACATTGCCAAACACAGAGAGAGAGAGAGAAACAGAGAGAGAAAAAGAGAGAGAGAGAGTGAGTGAGTGTGAGAGAGAGGGAGAGCCCGCAAGGCCCCAAACTCCACAGAACTCCCCCGCTCAGAGGAAGAAGAGAGAGGCAACAGGAGAGAGAGAGAAGGGCAGAAGGACAAGCAGAAGCACAGAAAGAGGCAGAAGGGCAGAGAGAGACAGAGAGAGGCACAGAGAGAGAGGCAGAGAGAGAGAGAGAAGGGGCAGGGAGAGAGAGAAAGAAGCCGAGGCAGGGGCAGGGGCAGGGGCGAAAGGGGGGTAGCAGGCACAGCTCACACGGCACACAGCGGCAAAGGGGGATCTTGGAGGAAGAGCAGGAGAAGCTGAAGCACAAGCTACATCTCTGTGTGTGTGCTCTCTGCTCTCTCTCTCTCTCTCTCTCTCTCTCTCTCTCTCTCTCTCTCTGCTCTCTCTCTCTCTCTGAGTCTCCTGTTTCTGGCTTTGTCTTCGCGCTATGTGTGTCTCTCTTGTCTCTCGGTTTGTGTCCGTGTGGGTGTGCCAATGTGCATCAGCAGCAGTAAGCGGGGAGGGAGAGGCCTGGCTGCCCTTTTGACTACCCCTTGCCCATGAATGGCAGCGGCAGAGAGCGCGTCCAACCCAGCCCAACTTACCCCAAAGGGCATCACAAGCCAAGTTCAGAGGCACGAGCGACTCTTAAGAGAGAGAAGGAAGGAATCACTTACCACGCACGGGGGCGAAAGTGAGAGAACAAACGCCCACCACACACACACTCACACACTGATGTGGCTTGAGGGTGTAGGGGTGGCTATCTCTGATGGATGACAGTGGTTGGGGCATATCTCTGAAACGCCTTGGTATTTTCTTTGTAGTATCTTGGGTGAAACTACGACTCTCTGATGGAATGACACTGGCTGTAACGTTCTCTGCCCTGTTGACGGGTGCTGCACAAGTGTGGGCCGCTGACGGGGCTTGGCCCTTAACAGCCACTGCACAAGTGTGACGTAGCGCTTGTCACACAAAGGCCGACACTGAGAGAGAGAGAGTGACGCAAACCAGAGTCAGCAAAGATGAGCTTTTTTTTCTCCTCCCTTTGGGTTATACAGGTTGTCGTTGCGATTGACTTGAGTTGCTCGAAGATGCTTCAGGTTTGAACCCTGAATCCCCCGGGGGACAAATAGGGAATAACTTGCTGCAGCACATGTAAGCAGCGGGCGCTTGACAGCAATTGTCAGAATTTTTAAGATGTCAGCAGATGTTTTTGTTTGGGTCTTTTGTGTGTGTGTGTGTGTCACCCTTTTGTTGCTCTTGTCTCTGTCCCTGCCTCTGCATCTGTGTCTGTCCCTGTCTCCGTCTCTGGCTTCATCAAGCTCTCCACCTCCGTCTCTGCTTTTGTCTCTATCACCCTTTATTTTCGTCTATTTCTCTCGCTCTCTCATGCCCTATCTCTGTCCCTCTTCACCCGCAACCTCCCTATCTCTCAAACTTTGCCTTGACCATTCTCCATCTCTTACATTACTAATTATTATTATACCTCGCTCATTTTGATATTTCGTGTGTGTGTAAGTCCAGTGAACGGGCGGGCGCTGCTGCTGCTGCTGCTGCTGCTGCTGCTGCTGCTGCTGCTGCTGCTGCTGCTGCTGCTGCTGCTGCTGCTGCTGCTGCTGCTGCTGCTGTTCGGGGCCCCTCGTTGGGGTCGTGTCTTTCTGGATCCAGGGCGCGATCTGATGGCAGGGAACGGTAGACAAGATCTGCTTTTTTTTTTTTTGCTTTTTGCTCTTTGTCTTTTTGCTGTCTCCACTTTTTCATGGATCGCCGGGCACGCCAGTGGGCACGTGAAAGCATCACCGCGACTCGTCTTGTTCACTCGCGCCCTCGGCAGCTCACTCATTGCCCGATTTCAACGTTTGATCAAACCACTGGCGTAGGACTGGAAGACAGCGGCGATCTTTCTCCCCTCGACACACCTGCGCGCTCATCTTTCATTGGCAGCTCTTCTTTCACGTTTCTGTGACGCGACACGACATCATGTCGATCAAGCTGGTTATTTTGGGTGCGGGCGGCCTGGTGGGCGCTCGGCTGTGCGAGCAGCTGATCAAGCTCGAGGAAATGCACGTGAGCCCCACGGAGACGGCCAAGCTGGGCAAGATTGTGCTTTTCGATGTCAAGGATCCCGCCGCGGTGAGCCAGGCCGTGCGCGACGATCCCCGGACGAGCGTGGTGCTGGGCGATCTGACCGACAAGGAGACCATGGTCAAGCTGCTTGATCCCGAAGGCCATGCCCATGTCACCACGATCCACCTCGCCGCCCTCCTCTCGGGCTACGCCGAGGAGAACTTTGACCTGGGCATGAAGATCAACCTCTTTGGCAGCATCAACGTCATGGAGGCCGTGCGTGGCTTGACCGCTACCCTCGGTCGCCCTCAAATCTACGTCTACGTCAGCACTGACTACGTCACCTGCTTCAACGACTACAACAAGTCCCACCCCGTGCATGAGGAGTCTTTCCGTCTCTCCCCCGTCTCCTACGGCTGCCAAAAGGCCTGCGTTGAGCTCCTCCTCTGCGATTACACCCGCAAGGGCTTTATCGATGGCCGCGTTGGTCGCCTCTCCGCCGTCATTGGCCGCCCCGGCTGGTCCAACTCCATCTCCTACCCTTACACGGGCATTTTCACCCAGACCCTGGAAGGCAAAGACTACGAGGTCCCCCTGCCCATGGACGTACGTTTGGCCCACCGCCATTGGCGCGCCTTGATGTGGTTCGCTCAGCCCGCCCCTCGTGCTGATCCCTTCTGCTCATCCCTGACGCTCTCGTGTCCCCATCCCCTGCCCTCTTTATAGGTGCCTTATCCCTGCTCGGCTCTGAACAACAACGTGGCCGGCCTCATTCACCTGGCTAGCAAGGTGGATGGGGAAGCCATGGGCCACAACCGCGTCGTTCAGCTGCCCGCCAAAAGCTTTACCCTGGCCATGATCTGGGAAGCCGCACAGGCCGTCGCCCAGGAGGAAGGCATCAAGATTGGCACCATCAAGCAGGTCGAGGCCGCCGGCGGTACCACCACCGTCAAGGAAATCAACGTCTGCCCCCACGTTGACTGCAGCAAAGCCGAGAAACTCGGCCTCCCCATGGACGTCGGCCTCAAGGACATTATCCGCGACTACGTCCACACCTACATCAACAAAAAGTAGTCTTGCTTTTTTTTTTTTTTCCTTGGCTCCAACGGGCGGCTTTGAGGCTTAGTTTCAGTGCGCCTCCGCTTGCTGTGTGTTTGTGCCATCTTTTCTCTTTCCTTTCTTAGCTTGCTTTTTCATTCCCAGACTCTTGCGACCAATCAAATCGACCGCGATCCTTGCCTGAGCCCCGACCCCTAATCCCGTGCTGAGAGACACGCAGAGACACGGGAGTCGAGCTGAATTGCAAGGGAGCAGAAGGCACGGCGACACAGAAAGAGAGAGAGAGCGTGTGTGTGTGTGTTAGTGTGTGAAGGAGAGATTGCGACATGCTCTCGTTTCGCAAGACGCAATGTACAGTGTGTGTGTGTCTCCCGTGTCTCTCTAAAATGAAGCATTTTCACCCTCTATTCTCAACGGCTGACCGAGGCAAAAAGGTAAGAGAGAGAGAGAGAGAGAGAGAGAGAGAGAGAGAGAGAGAGAGAGAGAGAGAGGAGGAAGCAAAAATAGAATAAAAAATTAAAAAAAGGGCAGCGGGGCACATGGATGGCGGTCCACACTGGACGAGCGGGATGGCCGTCTGGTCGCGCTTCTATGTGCTGGCGAGAGCCTGGGGGCGGGGGTCTTGATGTTGATGATTTTTTGACACATGGATAGAGTGGCGTCTGTGTGTGTGTGTGTGTGTGAAGAACCTGACACCTCCAGCTGCGCTGCTCGCCCGCCCCGCTCGCGGTTGCTCTTCGGTGGTTCCTGTCTTGTAGCTCGCTCGCTCGGTGCGAGGTGGCTTCAATGCCGTGGTCTTACGGTTCTTTCTCACGCCATCTTTCCTGCTCCTGCCTCCCTCTTCCCCGCTCTCTCCTGCTCTCTCCCTCTCAGGCTGTATTCCATCAACATGCGTCTCTACATTTACGAGAACAAGGACCAGGTCGGTTGCTGGACGGCCAACTACATTGTCCGGCGCATCAACGACTTTGGCCCAACTGCCGACAAGCCCTTTGTTTTGGGTTTGCCCACCGGTACGTCAACCCTTGGTTCCTAGCACATCCGATATTACCCCTGTCCCAACCAGAGACAACGCTCATCCGTCCTTCGCAACCGTTGGCCTTGCTCGACCGGTACTCCATTGCTTTTTTTTTTTTTTTTTTTTTTTCCCGACAGGCAGTACCCCATTGCCCACTTATCGGGAACTCATCAAGCTCTATCAAGATAAAAAGGTCTCCTTCGAGGTACGCGCCCCTCCTGCCCTCGCGCTCTGCCGTTGCTGCATGGCCGGCTCTTCCTGCACGTGCACGACCCGTTGCTCGGCGCCCACTGACACGACAACACCCGCTGCGCCCCTTTGGTCGGTACTGCTCAGCATGTCATCACGTTCAACATGGATGAGTACGTCACCGCTTGCTTTCTTGCCCCCTCCGCCCCCTTGACTTGGTTCAGCTGTCAAATGCAGTTTGCCTGTACCATGCCAACTGACCACGTTTTTGCTATAGGTATGTGGGCTTGCCCCGCGACCACCCCGAGTCATACCACAGCTTCATGTGGACCAACTTTTTCAAGCACGTGGATATCAAGCCTGAAAATGCCCACATTCTCAACGGCAACGCCGATGACCTAAAGGCCGAATGCGCTGCCTTTGAAGCCAAAATCCATGCCGTTGGAGGCATTGAACTCTTTCTTGCCGGTATTTCAAAAACCCATCGTGTTCAAAACACCTGCCTCAAGACTCGTTCCCCTCTCATCCGTGCCCCTTACCCTCGCACTTTGGTTGTCGCGATGCCTCGACCACTAGGCATTGGCCCCGACGGCCACATTGCGTTCAACGAACCCGGTACGTTGCGCTCAGCCCATTTGATCTCCCGAGCCCTGGGCCGCCCTCTTGTTCTCCGCCTTGCATCACAGCCTGTGCATCTCATCACTCAACCTTTGCCTCCACCTGCCCCCTCTCTCCCAGGGTCGTCGCTCGCCAGCCGCACCCGCATCAAAACCTTGGCATATGATACCATCGTAGCCAATGGTGCGTACATCGGCCCTCATCCCAGAGTCCTCGTGCCAGAACCACCTAATCACGCCGTGTGTTCGTTGCCGCAGCCCGTTTCTTCGATAACGATATCACCAAGGTTCCCCACATGGCCCTGACCGTGGGTGTGGGCACCGTCATGGTACGCCTCGACCTCATTCGTAGTAGGCTCTGTCTGTCTGAGAAGAGCTCTTGTCTGCTTTGCACCGGCTCGCAAGTTTCCCGTGTGTGCTCAATGTTTTCTGGTCTCGGTTCTTATTTTCTGTCTGGCAGGATGCGCGCGAGGTGTGCCTCTTGGTAACGGGCGTCCACAAATCCTTTGCCCTGCACAAGGCGATTGAGGAGGGTGTGAACCACATGTGGACCTGCTCCGCGCTCCAAAATCATCCCAACGCTGTCGTGGTGTGCGACGAGGTGTGTCTGCCTGGTTCGAGCGAATGCTTATCCCTTGACCCGTGCATGCTCATCGCTGGACTGCGCTTGCCTCTGGGTGTTCTCGTCTTGGGACTCAATGTCGCCAGGATGCCACCATGGAGCTCAAAGTCAAGACGGTCAAGTACTTCAAGGGCCTCATGCGCGTGCACAAGCAGCTGGGCGTGGACAGCTGCTTGGACATTGATGTTTCCATGTCCTAATCTGGCACCTCGCCAGAGCCAGCACCACGCCCCAGACTCGGAACTAGATTCGGTTAGCCTTTTGGCGAGCATGAGGTTCGCCCTAGGCCGGACAGAGTACCTTGCTGTCCACGTGTGCCTCTTTGCATGTTGTAGCCTGTGCCCTGCCAACGTGTGTGCAGTCGTCCGCCACACCCTGTTTGCTTCTCCCTCGGCTCGCGGTCTCTGTATTCAAACTCAATCAAAATCTCATCGCGGCAATCGGCAAGCAGCCCTCCGGCACCGCAGCCAAAAGTAACGAGGGCAGATTCATACAGGAGCGAACATGATTTGCATTATGATCTCGAATTAGGAAAGCGCGTTTTCAGACGAGTGAAGACAGGGCTTTGGCTTTTGAAAACTTGAGCACACCAAGGAAGAAAGGAGTAGGACTGATAAAAGCGAAAGCCAGAACTCGATGCTCGCCAAGAACAGGGCTGTCAATCAAAGAACCGGGATGAAAGGCAGGCGGCACAACTCGGGATGGGCCACACTGGAAATACACACACAAGAGACAGACACAAACGGGCAATCACTTCTTGGCTCGAAACAAAACAACAATCGATGGGGCTTGGAAGCTTCAAATTTTGGGCAGAGCCGACGCAGCGCAGCTGGTGTCTCGACGCCACAAAAAGTTATCATCAAACAGACGCAAGCACATTTACTCCAATTCGAGAGCGGCATCACTGGGACAACTGGAGCACGGTGTGCTCATGACCAATGGGAGATTAAAGGGGTCGGCGGGAGCGGCATGCGCTCGCTGCAGGGCGGCCATGAGATGGGTCAAGCGTTGTTGGCACCGGGGGGCGCCGTGGCAGTCGAGGCTGTTGGAGGGGATGGGGCGGCGATACACCCACGCACCCGGTGGATCGCGGTGGCACTGACAGCTCACGTCCAGAAGAATGCGGTAGGTGGTGAGAGGAGCCATCGAAAGAATGGTGGCAATGCATGCGGTCAGGCTGTGCAGCGCTTGGGCTCGACGCAGCATGGGCCGCAGCAGGTGAACTTGCTGGGGATAGCAGACCAAAACTTCAAGGACCTGCAGGAGGTGGCGCTCTGGAAAAGTGCGGGCCACATGCACCAGCGCTTGAAGCACGTAGTCGGGAGGGTGTCGATCAAACAGCGCACCCAGATAAGCATCAATCAGGTTGAGGGCATCGCTACCAGGCTCCAGATACTTGAGCGCATTGAGTAGAATGCCCACGTGCCGCTCCGGTACCAGCGCGCTGGGTGCTTGGTGCGCCTGGAGTGCAGGTTTGGATTGAGGGCACGGCGACGTGGGCGTTACGCCGGCGGCACTCAAGCCCAGCCTTGCACCATCGACCATGTCTTTATCCGGTAAAGCCTGCTGCTCGCTGGTGGCCGGAAAGACGAGGTGGGCGATGGAGGGCGGTGAATCGGAGGAGCGCAAAGATTTAGGGCGGTCCTGGGGTGGAGGAGAGAGGGTGGCAGCTTGAAAAATTGCAGCTGCTGAAGCAGCCGAGTCCTCACTCGGGAGGCGGAGCAAAAGGGCCTGCAAAGCGGTGTTCTTATTCCTAAGGACCCCATGCCCCCCGCGTGCACGCACAGCAAGCCGAGTGAGTCCTGGCCTCGGAAAGTTGGCAGGCATGCAGAGTCCGGAAAGCAAAACAAATAAAGCATGAAGTGAGAGGGGAGTTCATGCCGATTGGCAATAAGCGGGACGAACCAAGGGTGGGGCTGGTGGCGTTGGGACAAGTGGGCTACGAAGACAGCGAGGGCGTGGTCACTCCAAGGCTGGGATACCGCCAGAAGCCACTTGGTGACCTCGCTGGGACTTGAGTAGCGATCACCGGGCACTTGCTGTAGAATGTCAAACAGCAGCAAGGCTCCAGCGACCGTTGTGGGAGCGCTCATGATTGGATGAGGCGGCAGAAGCGCCGACCTGTCCGAGCGCTGTAAAGTACCTGTGCGCCACTGACGGCAGCACGCTGTACCCCTTCTCTTCGGCTGGCTGGTCGTGCGCGGTCAGCAGGAATGCCTCGGTTGTTCAGCAAGAGGCCTCGTCACAAGGCACCAGGCACATTTTTTCTCCTTGCTAGTGATCTGGGCGGCGGCGGCGGCGGAATAGTACGATTGCCTCGACGGCTTGGCAACGTTACTAAACTGGAAAAGTGAGCGGGATGGGACGAAAGCAGCCTGTTGGCGGCCAAGACGATGGGCACCCGGTTAGGAAGGGGGCGAAATGGTCTTTGGCCGGTGCAGGCCGGGCGAGGAGAAAAGCGGTGCGTGGGCGAACCAAGGTGGGGCAGAGGGCGGCCGGGATGGGTGTTCGGAACCTGTACGGAGCCGTGATAACGCGAATTGGACCGCATGCGACAATGATGGTGGCCCGGCTCGGGACTGCTTTTCAATATCTGTGCAACACTCTGCAGATGCTTGGTAGCAACAGCAGCTAGCACAGACATCCGTGTCAACCTTGAGCCATCTTCCACCCAGCGGCACGGGAAAGCCGAGGCTGGACCAAGGGAGGGGCTGCAGGTTGTCCAAGCAAGGTGGAGGCGATGAACGCTCAGGAGGTGGGTGCAGTGGAGGCGGGTCGCTGTCGTGACTCGTGGTTGGCCTATGAGTACCGGCGTCTGCAAGGCAGGTCGAGCAGCCGGCAGTTGGATCAAAGACGATGAACACCAAGGAGCAAGTTGGTGATGACGGGTGAAGCGAGGAGGCCCAAGTGTCAGGGGTGGGAACTGCGAATGCAGTCGACAGCAGGCAGCAGCGTGCTGGTGCGGTGGGGAAATGGGGAGGCGAGCGCTATGGGACGTCGCGAAGGTGCAACTTTTTTTTATTGTCGACAGGGAGTGTCCTGGAGGCCCACGAGGAGTCAAACTCCGTCACCGCAACGAGTCAGGCCGTGGATGAGCAAGTGGCCGTACTGGTGAAGGACTGGGTCCAATGGTGGGGAGGACGTTTCGCCCAGGTGTGCAACTGCGGCTTGAACCACGGTCGGCTGGCGGTTGCTGGGTGGGGATATCAGTGCACGCGTGCAAGTGCATGGCGCAAGTGGTAGCCGGGGTGGAGCGGCCAAACGGCCACGTTGGAAAGATGACAGGACGACCCCTTTCCATTCTGGTAGGCCATCGCGAGTCGCGGTGCTTGCGAGTGGATGGGTGATCAAGGGTAGCAAGATGGAAAGCAGGCAAGAGGGCAGCTCGTGGGCAGCTCAATGGCAAGAGGGGAGGGCGCAAGAGGCGGAAGGTGTCGGTGATGGTTGGTAATCAGAAAGGAGCCATGTCGTCCCTTTCGACGTCGGCGGGGACGAGATGGCGTCAAACTGTGATGACCTGTGACAGGCTGTCGCGCAGTCGAACGCAGGTGCGGTCGTTGGTCCCAGTCGCATTCTGTATTTGCAACTGCTGTGCAGAGGATACCTGGGCGGCATGCTCTGGGACATCAATCCTCTTAAAAGTGGCGCAGTTCCAGCAGGCAAAGTGGCGCGATAGGAAGAATTGGGACACCCGGTTTGGTGTCGACGGCGACCAGCAGTCTCTGGCAACCAGGAGTAAGGCCCTTTCGACGATCGGCCCTGAAGGGAACACAGAGGTGGGTGTCCCATGACCGCGGGCGCCGTGGTGGTGGTGGTGGTGGTTGTAGCCTATTCAAAATGCATCCAGCGTGATGGTTCACACATTAGTTCGGTTCCAAAACCAGGAAGCTGGCAACGGCTTGACAAGCAACGGCCAGTCAGAGCTGCCGGTGGCGGCCCTTGATCGCTACAGCAGGCTTCCGTCCACAATGAGCTCATCAATCAAGAAAAAAAAAAAAAAGACGCGTGGGACTGTCAGTTTGTGTCCGCTCATCGGCTACGGGTGGTCACCCCTTGACTCGTGATCTGCCTGAGAGCTAAGAAGGAGTTGGCAAGAAGAGACAGTGGGGCACGGGCCATCTTCATCAACGGCTGCGGGTTCGTGAGGGTGTCCTCCCGTTCGAAACCTGCAAGCATGCATCCATTACAACACGGAAAGGGAATGAAACGTTGACTTTGCCTTGCAGTGTGTGGGCTACACCAGACAGGGGCACGCACACAACGCCTGGCATCCTGGCCTGGGCACTGCGCGGGATCGTTCATTCGGGTGTGGAGTTGACTACATAGCCCCGGCAAAACTCTGCGGGCACGAACTTTGACATTGGCCGTCTCGCCAGAAAATGAATTGTGGTCTCAAAGCAAAACGCCACATGCAGTAACCGCAATGACCCCGTACGTGTCCCCTGCATCACATGCGCAGAAACGCTGTCCCTCCTTAGGCTTTGAAATCTGGAGCCGAGTTGATGCACCAAAATCAATTTTATGCATTTGACTTGCAAGCACAGCGACAAAATGATTAAAACACAGCTGCTGGTCGTGCCCATAGAGTCAAAGCTCTGCGATGCAAGTCACGCAAGCAGAGCAGAAGATTTCAGCACCAAATCTCGCTGCAGTCGGAATCGTTCACCGTGAGATCTAGTCAGCCGTGTAGTAGACCACCAGCTCGGGATAGATTTGGTCATTGTCAAACACAACCACCTCGTGAAACTGCCCAGACGGTGTGGCAATGACCGAGTCATACCTAATGTAAAATATCAAACAGTCAGACAGGTGGGAGTGCCGGCTCGGCTGTGGTAGCCATGGTACAAAGGCCCGTGACCTCGTACCGTTCGTTATTGGGCGCATCGGGCAAGAGCGGCGGGGCCAGCGCACCACAGCTGGGGGCTTGATGAACAAAGGCGCGACCCAGGAGAGTCCGTGTAATAATCAACATGCGCTCGCCGTCGGGTCCAGGCCTGGCATACTGGTGGCTCTGTGCAACATGCCAAAACATGGTGAATTTTGGAAATCAGTGGTCACGCCACTAGCAGCGGAAATGCTCGCACCTTGCCCGGATGGTCGGCGTGGTAGACGCCCAGTCCAAACCGTGTACCAGCCCCGTTCCCGGCAAAGCGATAGTCCAGGCCCAGGCGCACAATCTTGTCACGCTGCGAGTCGTCGTAAGGAATTCCATGAAATAACAAGCGCTCCTGGCACAGCGACTCCCGGAGCAAGGCCGGCTGACCCGGCAGTGCATCGACGGTCACCGTACAGAGGCGAGCAAAGTGCTCGTCATCTAGAGTGCGCTGCACCATCTCGCGTCTCTTCCTGCTGTAGCGCTCCCACAGCACGGCATTTTGCACACGCTCCACGCGCTGCACAGTCATGCGTTTTGGGCCACGCCCGTCAGCAGTAAGCTGCTTCAAAAGCTCTGCTACCTAATAACCAGGTCGGTGTGTGATTTACATATAGGCTTCTGGAATTTTGTATAAAGGACACAGGAGCGTCAACGAACCTCAGACACGAGCTCGGGCGCGTCGCGCAAGACTGCAACCGCAGGCCCGACGTGAGTGGCAGCTGTTGGCTGCTGGGCGGCGATTTGAACTGCACTGAGCAGACTTGGGCGCAGTTTTGGATCTGTGGAAAGGAATGCCCGCGTTTCCTTGTGGAGATTGCTCTTGGGATCGCACATCTACAAGAGGAACATGAACCAGTCAGTGCCTGAGAAAGGTGCATAATGATGCAACAGGACCAGGTCGCAACTACCTGGGCGGCCAGGTGCGGAAAGCTGAGGACGGTACCATCAGCTTGCAAATCCCAATCGCACTGAGCGATGACATCCTCCGCACGCGGATGAGCGGGAGGCACCGTCTGCGGAAACATGTACGTGTTGTAAAGAACGCAACCAAAAGCAAAGGCATCTTGTGCTGGGCGCGCGCCGACGCGCCCGTTGCCGAACAACACTTCGGGTGCAATATAGCCTGCCGTTCCAGCTGATGCGGTGGCGGTGCACGGCAACATCGTGACTTCCACTGCAGCCTTGGTAATGTCAAAATCGCCCAGGCGCACAACAGGCTCATCCTCCGAGCCGTCCAACATGACGTTGCTCAGCTTCACATCTCGGTGCACCAGGCCCTTGCTGTGCATAAAAGCCAAAGCCGTGCGTAGCTGAGCCATGAGCCCAGCAACAATGCTTGAGGTGGCCAGCTGCCGAGCCCTGCCAAGCCACTGCTGCAGGTCACCTTGTGCACACCACGGCTGCACCAAGAACGCACTCGGGTGGCCACTGTGCAGTTCAACCAGTGCATGCAGAACCGGAACAATGTGCGGATGCTCAAGCTGGCGCATGGCGCGAAGTTCACGAAGAAAGGTGCGACACTGGTCCTGCTGGTGCTTCCGAACAAAGGCGTACTCCTTGACGGCCAAGTCTTGCTCGGGGCAACCAGGCAGCGCGGCATGGGCTTTGTAGACTTTGTGGTTTTGGTTGTAGTGCAGCTCAAGCGGGCCCAAACTAGAGAGGGTCAAGTCTCGGCCCACCTCGGTCATGGCCTCCAAAATCAGGGTGGCCGGAAGATCGGGGCCAAGCACGCTGCAGAGGCGGGCACCTAGCATGCTCTGCTCGGGATGCAAAAGTACCAGCAGGGCTGGAAAGTGTTGATGCAGCAGCTCTGCCAGCTCCACAACGTGATCCACGCGCGATTGGCCCGAAAGCTGCTTTTGCAAGACAGCACGGCGTTTTTCAAATTTTGTTAGACCTTGCTCAAGACCGGGGCGCATCTCCTGCGGCGCAACGCTCAAGAACGCATTGGCAGCCTGTATTTGTTCATGCAGCTTGTCTAGTTCATCATGTGTCGCTGTGACCTCGTCAGCGTGGCCCTGGGCCAGCTCATCAGCCAACCTCATGCACGAGGTCAACACCGAAAGCGTCGTGGCCTGCCAGTCAATCATGTCCTGTAGCTGCTGCACCAGAGCTTGTACCTCTTGATGAACAAACGTCAGATACCAGGCTTGATGTTCGTAGTCGGGAGGTGCTTGCCACTGAGCTACTTGTTTCAGGCCGTTGAGCGTGGACAGG